ATAATTGCAGCCTATAAATATAGAGTTTGTGTTCTTAATAAATACACATAAATCTGATCGACTTCTATATTTTCTTCTCTTTCTCTCCTAATTTATAACATAATTGATAATAACATCACATTTCTCTTTACGTTATTTTTTTAATTTCTCTAAAGGTCTCCAATCTTTATTTATCATGACATTTGTATCCTTGCTCTTTTTGACACATTCTTATTTACAATTTGTCATTAGCATATAGTCTCTAAAAATTGTTTATATCCAATAAGTATGTGAAATAAACTAAATTTAATGAGATTAAAGTGTCAAGACCCTCGATTTAATAAAGATAATCATGTATAAGTTCGCAACTCAACATTATGGCGAGTGCATAATCTTTATGTTCAATCCACTTTCTCTATATTAACCAATTAGGTCTCTCGAACAAAACCCTTACTACCTAGGCATAAAACCCATTATATTTCATGTGAATTTTATTACACCTAAATGTATTTCGAACAAGAAAGAAAAATCAACAAAATGACCACATGCACTAAGGAGTGTTAACGGGTCGAGCCAAGCTGGCTGGTTTATAACATGGTAGCTTATCCCAAAAAATATAGCTCGACACACCCTACCAACTTCCCTATTGGTGGCAAACCTTGCTTAATTGCTTGCTCGTTGTCCCCCTTTTTAATTTTTTTAATAATTGAATTGATTTTTTTAATTTTTTTTTAATTTTTTACTATTTTCTGGAACGTGAAGTTGTTAAAAAATTGCGTATATGGTGTTGTGGAAATTATCATTTTTTTTAAAGTGTCCGATAAAATAAAATTGAAGTTGTGAAAGCTATCCTCCTTATTCAAGCTTGAGACCGATTACATGATAAATAGGTAAACGTAAAATTGTACACACTTAATATATCGTGTACATTTTTTTCTAAAATGATAATATAACATTGTACAAGAAATAAATAAAAGCTACTTACCTCCTCTATCTTCAATTCTTGCACGGGATTTTAGAACTTTCATTTGGAGGATGTTTGGTGAGGATTAAAATTAGACTTTTAAGTAGATTGTAATAGAAGTTTTTAAAATATGTGGTTGAAAAGTTATGAGATCCATAAAAAATGTAATATTGATTTAGATTAAAATCAGATTTTTAATCCAAACAAAACAAGTACTTGATATTAAAATGTGGTCAAATTTAATTTTATTGGTCAACAAACGAAATATGGATGAAAATCATTCATTTCGTCCTTGTGCCGTGACTATTTCAAAGGTTTTAAATAGTGGATGACATCTATGAAAGATTTAAGTAACATCTGTGAAAAAGGAAAAGGTTTGGAGCTAGTAGTGGCAATGGGTTGAGCCAAGTCGGCTCGGCCCTTAATCTCATAAGCTCGGCTCGTGCTCATGCTCGTGGTGAGCCGAGCTCGGGTTTGGCTCGTTGAATTTGGTCGAGCTCGTGGGCTCGTCTATTTTTTTATTTTTTATTTTTAAGAGTTTTACAAATAAATAAAATAATAGAAAACACTTTAAAAAAAATAAAAAGTGTTAAAAAATACAAATAATTTAACGAAAATAATTTTTTATTTTTTTATTTATATCATATTGTAATACTTTTTATAAAGTGTAAAATATTTATATAATGAAGACGAATTATTTTTTTAAATACATTTAAAAAAAATATTTTTTTGATTACTTTTTAAAGTAGATAAAACGTAAACCCCTCATCTTTTATTCGGATTTGGGATCCGCTACATCAATTTTAAGTAGACGAAGTTAAAAATTGTACACAAACAACTTGTTGTAACGTGTACAATTTTTTAAAGAAAATTAAATTTAACGATTAAAAAATAAATAAAATTTAATTAATATAATTAAATCAAATATCACTTGCCTGACGACATGCAATTTCAGCATATTTATCTTGTAGTCGAAAATGAACGTCCTGTCAATCCTTCATGCACATTAACGCTTCCAAAATATTTTCTTTCAGTCGACCCCTGCTATCGATCAAAACATTTTTACTTGCACTAAAAGCAAACTCTGAAACAACGGTGCTAACCGGAGGTGTCAGCAAATCTTTTGCAATTGCAGAAATAATTGGCCAACGTCTTTCATATTTTCGCCAGAATTCAATTACTTTTTCTGAATTTTTTTTAATTGTTCTGTCTGTTGGCATATTATAATTGAAGTAATCAATTAATTCGACAGACATCGCATTTTTAGTTCGGCCGATGCTTGATGAGGTGCAAATGTAGACGGCATGACACTAGATGAACACATTGCAGTTGCATCATATCTAAATGTATTAATGCCTTGAAATAAATTCATTATTTCGGCATCATCTTCTTCAATTCCAGCAGAAGGAGTAAGTGCAGAGGGTACTCGACTAACATTCGCACTCATTCTTTCCGTATATAAACCATACATTCTACATAATGTTTGCTCTAAATTCTTATAGGTGATAGGTGTATCAAGTATTAAAACTTTATTGATTTGATCAATTACGTATTTAGTTCCCGAAATATTATATTGGAGGTCCATTGCGTATGCTAAAGGAAATAACATAGGTAGTTCTTCCCAATATTTTCTAAACTTTAATTTCATAGCAATTATAATCTCACTAAAAGTAGGATCATTTTTATATTTATGTAATATTCTTACATTTATATAAAGACGTTCAAGCACCATACAACTTGTAGGATAATAAACGTCGGATAAAATTTTTGTGATCTTATAAAAAGATGTCAAAAATCGTTTAACTTTCAAAACTAAAATCCAATCGAATTCATTTAACATACCATTGTCATCACTTCTAACGTATCTATTGTTATAAACATCCGTTATTAAATTTTCGAAACATTCACATGACTTTAATAGCAAGTAAGTAGAGTTCCATTTATGGCCTACGTCGCTAACAAATGTTTTAGCAGTCGTCACCCCTAGTTCGGTACAAAAATCTTCAAATGCTTGTTTTCTACTAGGAGATATCGTAATATATACTAATGCATTCTTAATCCTTTGAAATTCATCATTTATATATTTTAAAGTATCTTGCACCATTAAATTCAAGATATGATACACACAACGAATATGAAACAAATAACCACCAAAATCAGGTTGAAGTGTCCTACACAATTTATCGACGATTACCTTATTAACATTAGTATTATCAAAAGTAAAAGACCAAATTTTAGTGTCACAATGATATTCTCTAACAATATTGATAATAGCATTATATATATTATCAGCATTGTGAGGAAACTCAATAATTCTAAAAGTAATAAATTTCTTATGCATGCACCAAAGTGTGTCTACATAGTGTGCGATTGCAGCTATATATATTCTTTTATTAACCACTTCCCATATATCAGAAGTTGAAGATATAATACCCATATATTGTTGCAAATTCAAAATTAATTGTTGTTTTGAATTATTGAAATAATTTATTGTATCGGCATGAAGAGTGTTTCGATTTACCCCAACGTACCTCGGTTGTAGATATTCTTTCACGAACGTTGGCTGTCTGCAATAGCCAGAGGCAACTCAGTGGCGGCAACAAATTTCACCATTTCGGTTGGAGTATTGTCCTCCGAATACACCCCCGTGGATAGGGGTGAAGTTGTAGAACCGACGTCTGGACTGCCAAATTGCAATTGTGTTTGACCAGTTGGAAGAAGTCTATGTCTGGCCGCACATGCTTTGTAGTGGTGGTTGAGATGGATGGTATCAATTCCTTTTTGTCATGCCAATCTTTGTTAGCAGTATTTACATACTGCTTTAAATTCTGTAAGGACATCAACGACTTTTTCCGTTGAAATCAACTTAAAGTGATCCCAACATTTTATTTATTTTTTTGGCCTTTCGCTTTCCCCTCGCATCTGGGATGTTTAATTCGACATCTTCATCCTCATGTTCCGCTTCGGGAACGTTAATATCATCTAAATTAATTGGATTGTAACTTCCCTGACCGTGAATGTGAACATCTTCAGGTACCGCCATGTAATTTAGACCAGCAAATTCACTTGGAAATTGACTTTGCGACGTCCTAGGCGATTCGCCATGATGTGACCCTCATCTTGTATCGAATAAGTTCTCAACAAATGAGCGTTGATCCATTTGTTTGATTGTTTATAATGAAATCTTAACTAGAAGAATATAAATGTTGTGAGAATTGAGAATTTGATGAATTGAAATTGTAACTAATAAACTGTAAAAATTAAATTGATATTGTATATTTTACAACACAAGAGAATAAAAACTCGATAATTAATATAATAAAAGAAAGTTGAGAGAGTTGGAGATTTGGAGTAGCAATTGATATGAAAAAAATAAAGGGGAGAAGGGATATTTATAATAGAAGGGGATGGGGGGGGGGAATTTCACTGACCGTTTCGGTCACCGAAAATTTGACCAAAATGGTCACTTTAATGACGGGCTCACGACGAGCCACGAGCCGGAAAAGGGGTATTTATAGTAGGAGGGGGGATTTCAATGACCAGAACGGTCACTGAAAATTTGACCAAAACGGTCACTTTAATGACGGGAGGCTCACGACGAGCCACGAGCCACTCGGCTAGTGCTCGGGCTCGTGATTTTACGAGCCCGAACTGTCTACGATCCCCATTTTCACGAGTTGAGTCGTCGAGCCGTGGCTTGAGCGGCTCGGCCCTTTTGATATCCCTATTTGGAGCCATGAATTATCACCATATAAAATGTTCAATTGATAATTGTGCAGCAATTAATTTGAAAACTCAATCAAGAAACATTGATCTCGCTGAATCTTATCCGCTAATTGCTGATTACATCAACCGCTCACAATGCACGATCCAAGTCAATAAAACTTGACCAATGCTTTCCATATTCATATTCCACCACGTACAAATAGTCCGAAGCACAATCTACGCCGTCGGTTAAACTCCATTCAATCAACGGCTTAAACCGTAATCCGAGCCTCTCCAAACCCACCAATACGATTCAATCCAAGGTATCCTATATAAACACAACCACCACACGCATCGTAAGCTTGTCATCCAACGCTCAACAAATCCATCTAATTACGATTTAGTACACTTTACCCTAATAAATGGCACCGAAGGCAGAGAAGAAACCGGCCGAGAAGAAGCCCGCCGCTGAGAAGGCTCCGGCGGAGAAGAAGCCAAAGGCGGGGAAGAAGCTCCCAAAGGAAGGTGCGGCTGCCGCCGGAGACAAAAAGAAGAAGCGCGCGAAGAAGAGTGTAGAAACTTACAAGATCTACATCTTTAAGGTGCTGAAGCAGGTTCATCCTGACATCGGGATCTCGAGCAAGGCCATGGGAATCATGAACAGCTTTATCAATGATATTTTTGAGAAATTGGCTCAGGAAGCGTCTAGGCTTGCAAGGTACAACAAGAAGCCTACGATTACTTCTCGGGAGATTCAGACTGCTGTCCGATTGGTTCTTCCTGGAGAACTGGCAAAACACGCCGTTTCTGAGGGTACAAAGGCTGTTACCAAATTCACTAGTTCTTGAAATGATCGTTTATTAGGGTTCTGTCGCATTTTTCTTTTTGATTTCATTTTCTGTGTTGGTAGGGTTTGAATGTATGATCTGCAAGTTTCCTAATCTGTAATTCTGAATGTAAAGAATGCTATTTGGGTTTTATTGAATTTGATTTTCTGCCATTCCATTCCCAGTGCTTATTTTATGATTAGATAAAAAAAAATTAAAAAAATGATATAAAATTGATTTGAGGTGCCTTACAGATGATGCCATTTTCTAAATAAAAAATTTACTATTAGATGGAAAAGAAGCTTATCTGGATTTTAGGTTACGTCAAGTATGCTCTAATCTCAACCATGTTTCTACGTAATGCTGCAAAAATTTTGCAGCAAAAAGATCAATATTTGTACTTAAAAAGATGACCCAGAATGCAAATATTTTATGCACATGGCTCAAGCAATGGAATTCAAATATTGAAAAGAGAGATGGATTGTGTGATTCACTCACATTTTTCTGAACTTTTTGAATTCACTGGATAATTTTTTAAACCTAGTTGGGTTACACAAGAACCGACCATTTTTATTGGGAAAAACAAATAATCATCTTGATGAATGCGTGGGAACTTCTACAGCACATAGATTGTATAAATATTGCAAAGGCCCTGTGTTTATAACCCGTAAGAATTGAACCATATCAGAATCTGCTACTGCATTATATCAAATTGGAGGAAGATGGGAATCACAATTTTTGTTAAGAGAAGCAAGAATATAGGCTCGTGTGTACGAAACTGATGCAGGAGAAAAAGGCCCCAATCCAGAGCAACTACAGGAGACTCAGTGCAAACCCAAATCACCATGGTCAGGGTGCCGTTCCTACAGAACAGATTCGGAGTTGGAGCAATGGGTTCATGATGGGCAATATCAGGAGCAAAACCACAGGCAGGTTCAAGATCACACATCTCCAATTACAAAATTCATGCCGAGAACCCTTATTTTGAAGGGCACCTACACATTGAGGACTTTCTAAAGTGGATTCAAACCATGGAATTTTTTTTAAAAGTGCTTGGATGTCCCTACACGTAAGCAACTTAAACTGATGGCCTCCAAACTAAGAGGGGCCTGCTTCAGCTTGGTGGGAGCAGATTCAGCATAATCGACGAAGCTTCGCATTCAGGCTCGGTATTGTATGTGGAAATTATTGAGGGAAAGGTTCTTTCCTAGTAATTTTACATCAAAAGTAAACGAGGCAATTGTAAGAGTAGAATTTTATTGTCTTTGCGCGAGGAATATCAAATTAATTTAAGGGCTGTCTGGTAGCAATTAATTGCAAATTTTAAGCAAAAATTTTATTCTTGCTTGACGTCATTGTGGACTTTCTTCTCACAAAGACTGTCACATGGGATCCATTAACGGTTGAAAAATCCATTATTTTGCACCCCTAAAATCAGGGCCAGACAGGCACTTAGTATGACCCGTTACATGTGGCTTTGTATATAGATGGATTGAAGAAGTCAATTCAAGTGAGGCTCGAAGTGAAATCAATCTGTACATTGACCACAGGTGTTTGAGATTTGTTGGAATTGGTTTTAAAATTGAGGAAAATCTGGTTAAATATTAAAGTTTAAAATGTGACTTTCGTGTCATCTTTGGCCGAATATTCGAGCTTTATTCAATAGTCAAATTATAAGTGTAAATAGACTAACTTGTTCTACTCGTCGAGTAAATTATTGTGATATATTTGAAATCTCAAAACCAATTCCGAATGAATGAAAAATTACGATCCAAAGTTGAAAGAAAAATAAAGAAAAAATTGACATGAATTTTTGCCCAACTTCGTCGCTTGCCTATCACTTGAGCGACGAGATTGTCGCTTGAGTGAGAGGTTGGCGACAAGAGAGCGATAGCGAGTGATGCTTCTGTTCATAAATTTATGAGGTTTGATCCGCAACACTTCATCCACAGACCCTCATCCTTTATAAATAAGACCCTTGAGACATCAATTTCTTCATTCCAATGATATGCAATCATAGTATAACATTACATTTATCTACCCAAAATTCCACGTAAACTTTGCATAAATTCTGATTTTCCCTTGTTTATTCATAAAGGAGTACAAAATCCGATTTTGGTTCGCTAACCTTGTGTTTTGAAGTGTTACCAACACAAAAACATAGTCGTTATATTTTGGAAGTTGATTGTCATCATTTGTAGGCACCGTTGCTGAGCAAAAATCAACTTAAGGACAAATATTTTTAATTCTTACCTCGACTTTGCATCTATTTCATTTGACGTTATTTTTGTAGAATATATTTTTCCTTGTTTACTTGCCGTTATTCTGTCGAATTTTCGGTAAGGTTGGTAAGTTTAGTTTTGGTTTTTAAAGTCATCATTCTATTTGTTTTCCAACAAAATTTTCAAGTCCAGAGCAGGATCCATTAAAAAAGGTTTCTTCAAGAATGTCTTGAACATCCAACCAATTGAAGAAGATATCATACCAGAACCTCAAACATTTGAGGCTAATGTTGCCGGAACCCAAACAAATCTGACGGTGAACAACCTGTACTACCACCGGACCAACATTAAGACAGAGACTATCTTACATCCAAAGAACAAACCATATGTGAAACCTATGCCCATTATGTGCCACGATAAAAAGTTCACTCTTCATCCTGAGATTATTCGATAGTTCTAGCCTCTAGATGAAGTAATGAAATGCCGATTCAAGATTCAACTGGCATCTGCATGCTGGTGTTGTAACCAGTTGGAGATAGTTCATCATGTGTTTTTGTTGAAAAATATGAAAATCAAGAGAAATAATGAAAACTTGCTCATCAACAGCGAGAGCTAACAGGTGTAAAGCAACTCAAAAAATTGAAAAGCATGCTCTTGGGAGAATATATTCTCCATAAATCATATTCCTAGGTCATCATACCAAAGCAGCATAGATGATATTGGTCCCTCTTTGTTTCGTTTCCTTTATTTTTTTTCATTACTTTTTTCGGGGTAGGGAGATGTGTAAAATAGTGGCCATCCCCAATTTACAATTTAACATTCAAGGGGCCCTCGTCAAGTGCTGAAAATTCAAAACAATTCAACGTCTTAAATGAGAGAAAATGAATAATAGCATGCCTAATTGAATTGGTAGCATCATTATTTGATGAATGCACCATATCTGATCCAGAATCAGAACAATGGTTGCATTAAAAACCTATTAATTGCATGGAGCACCGTCAAAAAATGGAAGTAAAATATTAGATAACATGGTATAAGTGCAATCACTATTATGAACTTATTTTTTAATTCATCAGATATGTTTGAGTGATTAAAATGATTTTTATCCATCCCAAGGTATTTATCACCATGCCTCAGCATTTTTGGCAAGCTGTCTCTCCAAAGTTGGGCAATTTCCTTCATGAGTACCTTGAAAAGAACTACATTAACACTGAAAAAACCAAGTTCACATCGGGGGAAAAGGCAACAAAAAAATGACAAACTATTGATGGAAACAAACAGACACTAAATGAATTAGTGGAACACTTGCAATAGCCAATAAATGTATGGTTCGTGCACAAATATTGGGCAGGACTTGATATTAAAAAAGAAAAGAAGCTAAAATCTTGTCCATTGTAGTGCCTAGTCCCCTGCAATACTTAGCAAAAATACTGTACCCAACTACATGTCCATGGAAGTAAACTAGAGGATATTAAGAGATATTCCTTCCACTGGATCAGCGGGCAGTTCAACCAGATTTGCAGCAATGGATCAAGGAATTGCTATAGATCTTTGTCTCTGTCTAAATCTAAAAAGTAGGTTTCCAACCCTATTTAGAAGCCCAACTAAGAAGCATCCTTGACAAGGTAATCTTTCCAGAATCCATAGGCACTGCAACAATAACCCAAGGACCCTGAATAGATTGACTAGAATAAACATTTGTTTTATGGACCAAAGTGAACGTCATTTTTTGATTACGCACAATAATGCAATTTATGGAAACACACGATCAGTTGCATATTTTGGGCCTGATGTAGAATTTTTGAGAATAAGTTCTGTAAAAAGTGAGTTTTTTTGAAGAATTTGTGGTTAAAATATAGGAAAAGTTATGCGCCCACGTACAAGTTAATTTTATTGGAAGAGTATGGTCGAAAAAAATTTTGGGGGGAAATAAGCCATAGGCACTGCAACAATAACCCAAGGACCCTGAATAGATTGACTAGAATAAACATTTGTTTTATGGACCAAAGTGAACGTCATTTTTTGATTATGCACAATAATGCAATTTATGGAAACACACGATCAGTTGCATATTTTGGGCCTGATGTAGAATTTTTGAGAATAAGTTCTGTAAAAAGTGAGTTTTTTGAAGAATTTGTGGTTAAAATATAGGAAAAGTTATGCGCCCACGTACAAGTTAATTTTATTGGAAGAGTATGGTCGAAAAAAATTTTGGGGGAAAATAAGCTTTAAAGAACTGTTATAAACAAGGGCTTAGCAATACGTGAAAAATAACTGGTGATAATAGTTGCCATTGAAATGACCTCTTGGCTCATATAAATATGAGAAGTAATAGAAATCTATAAATTTTTCTAGAATACCAGTAATATGGTTAGAGACTTGGGCCTCAAAAATCCTGATACAAAATGCAGTTGTCAACAGGAGGGGGAAGAAAAAGAAAAAAAGAAGTAAATAATAATTGACCACCAGCTAATTTACCTGCGAAAGCTTTAATTCGTTCATACATTGGAATTTGGAAGTAGATTGAACACATCCTGCAGAATTTAGGAGATGTATCAAGATAAGATAGGAAATAATCTGGAATAGTGTGACATTCAGAGTAAAAAAGGACGAAAAGTGAATTTACAAAGTGGTAAACTTCAACAATTACGATTATAATTTGAAAAGTGCAGCACAAAAAAGTCTCATTGGACTCCAGAAAGGGGGTTTCAGGAGTTCTATTTCACATTCTCAACTTTCGGTTGTTGATTTCTAAATTATTTACAAAATTCATATTCCAGTGTTACCAAGTTGCAATAGGATGAAAATTCCCAATCCAACGGGGACCTTTTTAAGTCTTGGTTCAGGATGGTCAATCCCAGGCATATGTATCCACCTCATAAAATCAATCAACTTACACATATATGAACTTTATATACATCATTCATCCCACATTCATAACTATATCTAGGAATATAACCAAATATCTGCCAACACCAAGATCAATTTGGAATAATGTTAGTCGTTATACAAAGAAATTAATCAAAAGCGTGCTAAACTAATACTTCTCCAAGGTTAGATTTGTAAAGGCAGAGAAGCTACGATACAGTTTACAGACACTATGATAAAATCAAAAAATGACACCTTCAATAAAAAGGTCAACATAACCGCAGATCCCCTTCAACCCTGTAGATTGTGTATCTTTCACATCCCTCAACAAGGATGAGTGGAAATAGCAGAAAGATTCAACAAGGTAAAACAAAATATAAAGTGGGTTCGGGTGGAATGGAATGGGGGTTTTGAGGTGAAGTTTTGAATCCCACATTGGAAAGAACAGAAGACATCTGGGATAGGGGATGGTGAGGTTTTTACAATGAAAGCTGCCTTAAATCTGGTGGTTTTGTTAGTAAGGATCGAAACCAGCAGGTCCTAGCTAATGGTTGTGGAAAAGGGAACTTATAATGCTTTTGAATAAGTAATAAAATCAATTTATTATGACTGTCCTAAACTTCGGTCATCTACCATCCTCTTCCAAAAGTTCTGATACCATCAGATAAAAACGTAAAATATGGAGACAAGTTCAGCACTCATACTTAGTGTTGTTCAGATGAAGGTAAAAAATTATTAAATTATTCAGTCCCCGTTCGGCCCCCATTCCCATTCCCATTCCCATTCCCATTCCCATTCCCATTCCCATTCCCATTCCCATTCCCATTCCCATTCCCATTCCCATTCCCATTCCCATTCCCATTCCCATTCCCATTCCCATTCCCATTCCCATTCCCATTCCCATTCCCATTCCCATTCCCATTCCCATTCCCATTCCCATTCCCATTCCCATTCCCATTCCCATTCCCATTCCCATTCCCATTCCCCTTCCCCTTCTCATTCTTTTTCTCTCTTATTTTTAAATCTTCCATAAAATAATATTATACGCAAATAAAAAACTTTTCATTTTTTTTTCAACCACACATTTAAAAAAAAAACACTATTCCAACAATTAAAGTTTGAAAAGAAACGGGGGCTCAATAACACAATTTTGAAATCCAGTGTGTTTGCGTGCTCTTCCCCAAGTTAAACACGTAGATGACGTCATGACTCCAAAATCATAATACGCATAATACAAGGCAAGCGTTCAATTTGCAAATCTCAAGTACTAGTAGATCAGGAAAAATTACTCAGTTAAAATCATACCTTCTCAAAAGCTAGTAGTCTAAAATATCATCCGATAGGGACTCCAATATCTCCTAGAAAACTCATCACAGTATTCATTTGAGATTCCGGCAAAAGAAGAATGACAATGATTCTGAGCGACCATTTGGCCCCCATTAATTCTGATTATAATTGGGGGGGGGGAATAGTGTTTTTTTTTTTTTTTCTAAATGGATGGTTGTAAAAGAATGAAAAGTTTTCAATTTACATGTAATATTATTTTATTAACGATTGTGTGGTTGAAAATAGGAGAGATAAAAATTTAATTTAATTTGATGAGATTTAACAACGGCCAAACGGGAGCAATTTATATAACTAATCATGCACTCACATGTGAATAATGACTTGTTAACAGCGTATTTATTGAGTGCCTCTTAAAATTGTTGAAAGGTTGTCTATTAAGCTATTAGCTCCTAGTAATACGTCGCTAAAGCATATACCGAGGGAGGTGCCTTCTACTATCTTCTATTTAGCAAGCAACCGAGTGGCTTTCGCTCCTTGGTCTATTGTCTACGGTGTCCTGCCCCACCTTTCATTATTTAGTGCTTGTGATACTTTTGCTTGTTTTCTGTAAGAAATATAGGCTCGATTTTGTCTCATTACTAATGGTAGAAAGAGTGTAAATTGCAGCCCTGAAGAGGATGTCTTGCTCGAATCTTTAAAAGAAAAGAAAACGAACAGTTTTTAAGACATGAAAATGAGGCAGTAAATCTAATGCATCTCTACACAGCAAAATATATGTTCATCAAGTGAAAAAAGAAACCAAAGAAACAGATAGTGGACACTGATGAGGCTCAATCAGTGAAAATATTTC